AGAGTGTTATATTGCTAAAAAGTAAATAAATTTCCATGAAATTGTTAGTTTCACTCACACAAAATAATAAAGACTCACAAATCCAAAATAAGATGTATCCTCACTCACTCTCCAAGAGGGAATTGCAATTAATAGCATCAAAAAGTTCCCTTAGTGAGGTTGGTGTAGATGGTTAGATAAAGAATATAATAATATGATTGGAAATTAAAAATTACCATAGTATGCAATATTTAATATAAGCCTCAACGCTAAAAACTTTTCGTGCATCTCAACAATAAGATAAACAAAGCATGATTCTAAAAGCTTAAAAATCAAGAACAAAAACTTAATAAAATAATTTCTATCAATTTATAAAAGTGTACCTTTACTACATAAAGGACAAAACGCTCCAACTCAAGGCATCGAAGTAAAAAGTGAGCACCTACAACAACAATTACTGGTCGCCCCTCGCTGTCTACTCCACCCCGATAACTGAATTGTATGCAAAAAATTAAGAATAAAGATTTGACAATTATAAAATTATCTGAAAATAAGATAAATGAAAACAACTATAACTTGTTACACGCAAGACTGCTAAACAAATGATTGTATGTAGACATATTCCAACATAGAAAAGCACCATGCCTGATCTATAATTGTACATTAATATTGGATATGCTGTGCAAATGTAAAGCCTATAAAATTCTTTGAGCGCACATAACAAAATCCTTACACAATTTTCATTTCAGCAATTTCTGAAAGGTTCAAAGAATTCGCTTTTGCAAGATATCTGGAGTGAAGTGAATATTCCTCAGCAGCACTCAAAGGAGGACCACCTAAATCTCCAAAACCAAGCAGCTTAGCAAAATCAAAGCCATTTTGAGCCTGGGCAGCTTTTTCCCACTGCTCTTTGCGACGCTGGTCAGGGTCCTTCATCAATGACATGAATGCAGGATCTAGATATGCATCCACATGAAATGAACCCCTACTAAAGAATAAATCAAATTAGCTTAATGCTGTAAATAGTATATTCAGGGAACTTTATATAAATACCACCCAATTTTATGTATTTACATATCAGACACCTAACTTTCATATTTTCATGCATAAGACTTTGATGTAATAAACCTATGCCTGAAAAGGTGTATTTCACTTTTAAAAGTAGGTGATAATGGTATTTTTTAATGTTACATCACAGATCTGAGTCTATGCTTGTACATATGAAAGTTTGGGTGTTGATGTATAAAAATATAACAATTGTGTGGTATGTATGTAAATGCCCCTTAAATTTATCATCAGCATGGCAACATCAAAGCATATGACAAAACAAAACATATTTTATGCATTTGGAACTACAATAAAATTGTGGTTAGCGAGAAACTAAATATGTATGCATTCAGGCTTCGTTTGGTTATTGCTGAGTTATTTGGTAAGAATCAAGATTGCCGTTAATCTCCGGAAATGGAGAACCTAATATGCAAGTTGCTCATGCCTCATAGCAGAGTCATGAAGGTGCGCATGCGGTAAATTTGCAAGTTACCCGTGGTCATGTCATGGTAGAGGTGCATGCAGAGTAATGTCATTTGCATTACAATTTCTCGTGCAAAATAATATTGGTAAATTTACATCCATATAACATAAATTAAGTATTTATATATCTAACACCCAAAGTTTGATATTTACACATATAAGACCTTAGTGTCAGAAAACTAAGGGCCCATTTGGGGGGGATTTTTTCTCGCGGCGCGGTGTCCCCCCGCGAATCTCCCCGGTTTGGGGCGACGGTTTAATCGCGGCGGCCCCAACGTGCAACCGAACGCGGGCCGCCGGATCCCTCCCATGGTCCGTGCTTTTGCTTTTTACTTTTACACGCATGCCCTTCT